AAGCGAGAACTCATAAAGTTGAGAGTCAGGTTGTCGGCGAGTTGTACTCAACAGGAGCTGTTTTGTACTGCAAGGTAACATCAAAATGTTACACTCTGAATAAAAGTCATATCCATGCAGTTTGCTAACATTACCGTTACTTGTTGCAGACAAGTCTCCCACAGACTCTTATGGTAAGTATCTTGGTTCCATATCCAAATACAATTGGGGACTAATTGCTTATAGTGTGGAGAGACGATCAATAACATAATTGGCCAGACGCTCAATCCCGTCAACCAGGAACTTTCGTGTGGTGGATCCTCTGGTGGTACATATTTCCTCACCGACTTCTGCTACTGGACTCCCATCAATATAAGCTAATGCAACACAACAGGCGAAGGCGCTCTCCAGGCTTTGAGAGGTAGCTCCGTGGGCCTTGGGACAGACATTGGTGGCTCTCTAAGGATTCCTGCTGCATTTTGTGGAATATATTCCCTCAAACCTACCCACAACCGATTGTCCTACCGAGATGTTGCCAACACTGTGGGTAGACTTCACGAAATCATGACGAGTGGAGAACTGACTTCGAGCCCCTAGAATCCAGGACAACTAAGTGGTCCATCTTCGGTCGGAGTTATGGCCACTTCGATCGGAGCTCTGAAGCTGGTTACCTCCGCACTACTCTCCACCAAGCCTTGGCTACGCGATCCAAATGTTGTCCCTATACCCTGGAGGCTTGAACTAGAACAACAAACCTTGGCACGGGCGACTTCAGAAGGTAGGTCAAACGCAAAGTTGCCTCTGAAGCTAGGAATTCTTTCCAACGATGGCTATATGACCCCGCATCCACCAGTCACTCGAGGTCTTCAGATAGTACGAGATGCTATAACTGAAGCGGGCCACAAAGTAGTTTTGAAATCAACCATTTCATGTAATCACGAATTCTAATGGATCTTTAGGTCATTGACTGGAATCCTCCTCCCCACCAACCAGCTGCTCAAATTCATGTATGCAAGACACTTTATCCACTGAGTTTCAGTTAAGCTTACAGCGGTACAGCTCTTCTTTCTACAATCTGATGGTGGACATGATGTTCACAAGCAATTAGATTTGTCCGGCGAGCCGCTTATAGCCCCACTGCAGGAAGTCTTCAAACTTCAGCCTCCATTTTCTGCGATCCGCTGTCAAGAGCTCAGTATCCAAGCACGTGAGAGTTGCGAAGCGTACGCAGACTACTGGAACACGACAGCTCTAGATGATGGTATACCATTTCTAAGGTGTCCACCAAAAAGAAAATGCTAATCGACCGTACTAGGTCAAGACGTCGATGCATACATAATGCCCGTGGCTCCCCATGCAGCCATCATGCCTGGACGTTATCTCTACACAGGTTTGTTCCAGCCCTGAATGCATCCTTTTCTGCGGTTTTCTTCCACTCGGATTCGATGACAGAAAGCCAATGAATGACATCTGATAGGTTACACGGAAGTCGTCAATCTACTGGACTACTGTACTGCTGTGATTCCTGTCACTAAGGCTGACGAAAGGGTTGATGTCCCGGATCCAAATTACGTTCCATTGAATGCCCTCGACGAAAAGAATTGGAAGTGGTGTAAGTAATAGAACATGAACTCGTCCCAGAGGCTCGCTTACCGAATCCTGATGATATAGATGACCCCAAGGCTTATGATGGTGCGCCAGTGGGTTTGCAAATTGTAGCTAGAAAATACGAAGAAGAGAAGGTTTGGGCTATTGCAAAGATCATCGATTCAATCTTGAAGGAATCCAACAAGGCCTCGTAGCGATAGCTGTTTCTGAACCAGAGTACACTTTAAAGAAGAATTACCTTGAGAGCTCATTATCCCAGTTATATGACAGTGATTTGGGCACTGAGCTGCATAACAAGCCCGCTACCGTAGGACTGTGCCTTCAGGCTCCTTTTCAGGCTCTCCCACATCCGAACCTAATTAAATCATCATAACCATAACTACTACTCCCCCCTTGATTTTGAGCACCATAAGTGTGATGAGATCCCTACAAAACACAAAGAAGCAATACGCCAATTGCATTGGGTTGTAAAGATTCCAGCTTGTATGCTAGAAACGCGTTATAAGTTGGGTAGAACAACAATAGGCGTATCTTGAGCTATGATGCCCCTGAACGCGCCCGTCCAGGGAGAGTAGGCCCTGCGCAGAAGCTTACAGATTCTAAGATGGATGAGATTATTGAGTATTGTGCTGAGAAGTGGGAGAACAGGATTATGAACTACGACGAGCTTGTCAGTGAGCTCGAGTTGCTGCCTCTAATTACCCCACGCAATAGACTTCACCAAAAGGCTACTACAGATTCGTAGCATGCCAAAAACCCAACCTCACAGCAGCACAAGTTATTGGACGATTCCTCTGGACAATGGCACACATATTTTGGACAGTGGAGTGGCTAAATATCTTATGGTCTGACGAGGTGACATTCCTAATTGGAGGTAAGACTGCAAAGGAGAGGTTGACGCGCAAGAGGGGCTCGTAAAGTGGCGCCCGATTAATTATGCCCAAGATGAGTCCTACAAGGCATATTCGGACTTTTGATGGTCTAGTAAGCAAGGCCGAAGGTCTTCCACTCATGGCATGTAACCGCCAGCAGCTTGCACCCGAAATTGTACGCACATGCGTGGGCTCATCTTGTCGGGGAAAAGAACGGCATGAAAATCGAGCCGATGTACGTTCACAGTGATCTGGAGGTTGTTGACCGACTGTGGCCTAGCTTAGGAAAGGAGATGGGCCTCATGTTGAAAGTTGTGGATCTTCTTGGGAAAGAAGCGTTGTCTAAGAAGGATGCAAAAATTGTAACGCTGCAGTACTTGGAAATGGAAGTAGGGACTGATCTAGTGAGCACGGAAATGGCGGTCAGGAAATTAGCAGCGGCTACCAGCACACCTATCATGTAGATGCTTCCAAGATACAAAGGTTCTATCTAACGCCGGGTTGCGACCCATTAGATAGGAGCTTCGTGCTCAAACTTACCTTTCATAGCAATAGTATCTCTTTACCTTTGGTTGTAACGTCTTCTATTCTCATAGAAGGATCACGTGCTATTACTCACTTCATTCTTGATACTAACCGACGTACTTAGGTATATACAACCCAGGACCGTTACATTAATCTAAAATAACTGCAATACTTTAATACATTTTAATATTCCTTATACCTCGTATCAGGGGTGATAATTGTAAAAACAGGTGTCTATTCTTAGTGGTGCCGCTTTGATATGTTGTATACCATCCTTCTGCATCTATCACTGCTTGGCACCTCTCTCATGCTATACACAAGCTCTCGAATTTTTATCATGAATAATTGACTCCCAAACTTTCTGAATTGTCTGCCTTATTCTCTTATAGCTGCTATGCACTTGAGATAATACTCTTGAATATAATCCTTCATATCGTCCCAAACCATCTCAATAGGATTGATGTCTGGGGAGCAGAGAGGCCATTGAATCACTATTAGCTCTGCAGCTTTAATTGCAGCCCTTGTGAAAGCAGAAGCATGCCCCGGTGCATTATCTTGCTGGGTCTATAAGTCTGGATAGTGCTGTAAGATCTCATTCACCACAAGAATAATAATCCCACAATATAACCCTCATTAATAGTCTCCCAGTACTTCTCCCAGAATAGTCCATTATGCCGTCCATCCTGCCACTTATTAATCCCCAAAACATCCATCCTATCTTCTTCTTATGACGTGATATTACACAGTCCTTATGGTTCTCTTCTCCACGCTTGAGGGTGACTCTCATGCGAGTGTGTCTACCAGGCTGTGCCCATGTCTCATCACTCCAAAGGATTTCATCCCATTGCTCGTCTATCCAATTACTTCATCACCGGGATAATAGTTACGCCAAGACTTCTAGCACTTTCTACGCTAGTAGGAGTCTACACCCAATGAAATATAAGTGTTATATATCCCAAAAGTTGCCCTCGCCAACCCCAGTCGCTCACCTAACCCGTCGTCACTTTACTCAGTCGCTACTCAGTCACTACTCAGACACCACTCAGGACATCTTAAGGTAGCTTAAGATAGCTTAAGAGGATAATCAAAACTGGCTTAGGCATGTAGGCAGTATATTTGAAAATGACAACTCTTTATGAGTGCTATGATAGGGAACGGAACGGGTTTGGGCCACCTTGGTTGGAGAAAGAGGCCCCTTTGACAAGAACTCACCTACCGTCTCTCAAAGTCTATAAAACCCTATTTCATTATCCCATTTATGTTTCCCAGAAGTACTTACGTAGGGGAGGTAGTGTGTGGAGTAACATAGAGGAGAAGGCTGGACTCTCCATGACTATCCATGGGACATGGCACTGCTCTTACATATTCTTCCTGAAGATGAAGAGGAAGGCTGCCGTACCCAACGAGCCGTACTCATTAATGAATGCAAAGAATTCCCGTTTCGAAGAAGATTGGCCAAGACATGCCTGATCATAGGGCTTTCTGGATATCCGGACCTACCACACCAGACCTTTTCGCGCCTCCATGTCAATATTCCAACATGGAGAAGATGGTGGCTGAGGTTGCTGCAAGGTGCGTGCCGCCAAACCCGCCTGATTTTCATCACTTAAAGCCATGATTGGCCTTGGGCTTTATTCTACTTCCACCTGGTCTTTCGAAAATCACCAATGGATGGAAACCCAGCCCACCCACAGCCATGAGGAAGAGGTCAGTCGAGGATTGTGACTACAGGACCTACCTGAGGTAGACGTGCATGTGCGTCGTACCAATTTAGCTTTCGGCTCGTAGCAGCATTAATTACACACCCTTCGATCCCGTCTGCCCTGCCCCCCAATCTCCTCAATTTTCTCATTTCAGCCCAATTCGACAACCACATTTAATTCCGTTTTCAGTCAAACAGCCTACCAACCTATATCGATGACGGCGTCCTTTCGCAGTGCCTCTCGTCTTGCACTTCTCGTTAATCTTTTGGCTTACCCAGCACGCTTGGTCCACACAAACCAATACACCATCGTAATGCCTCGCACAGTGCTGCTTGTTGGTCAGTAGTAAAAAATCAGTCACGCCTGCCTGCAGCCTTAAGCTACCCTGAGAATGATATGGATAATTTCATGGATCTTCGTGCTAATATTGTTTCGAAGGTGCCAATCGCGGTATTGGTTTCAATCTGGCGCACGCACTAGCCTCGCGAGATTGGAACGTCATCGCAACGGTGCGGCCCCAGACCAGATCTTCAGACGACCCCTCCTTTAAAGAGGTAAGTCGACTCTTTACATACAAGCGCGACATTCAAGGCCTCTAATCAATTGATCTTATTATGCAGATAGAGGCAGTGGCGTCGCAGATCCTAGAAATTGATCTTGCCAGGGAGCAAACCATAGCCGATGCTGCCCAGCGTTTTGGTGATGGACCGCTCGACATGCTTGTCAATATCGCTGGTAAGTATATATTCATACCAGAGTCTAAGCCCTTTCTAATCTCGTCCTGGCCTTAGGTCTTGGTCCCGAGCCTGAATTGGTATGAGCACAGTGCTGAGCTTTTGACGGAGAAATATGTCATCAACACGGTCGTAAGTAGACCCTGGCATATAGGCATACAGGCTCTCATTCTCTTCGCCCAGGGACCATTCCTCACCGCAAAATACTTCCACCCCAATCTCAAACTGGCTCGGGGTAAACTGATCGATATCTCGTCCAATGCTGGCTCTATCACAAGTAAGAGGGCTTGCAGTGTATTCTACATGATCCTATCTGACTATGGTTGACAGTGTGCAAGGGCGAGGATCTTGCCTACCGTATGTCCAAAGCGGCGCTGAATATGTTAACCGTCACTCTAGCGAAGGAATATCAGATGAACGATGACAATGTTACAGCCATAGCGTTAAATCCGGGATATGTCGCCACAAGACTCACTAATTTCAGATCGCGAGATAAGATGGAAGAGTGCATCGCTGGTATGGTCAAGGTCATGGAGTCGGTAGATATGAAGGACTCCGGTTCGTTTCTAGACTGGCGAGGAGAGACTCTGCCTTGGTGACAGGATCTGAACAAATTTTGAGCTTGTTTATCTCATACATCAATTCATAGACAGATCAATATAAAATCAGAACCATACAAAGGAGTGGTTTAAGTCCTAGTTCACCTAACCTATCACCACTTTACTTAGTCACTACTCAGCGATTATTTAGATATTACTTAAGATATCTTAAAATAACTTAAAATAACTTAAAAAGATAATCAAAACTAGCTTAAATATATAGATAATATATTTAAAAATAATAACTCTTTATAAGTATTATGATAGAGAATAGAATAGGTTTAGGCTATCTTGGTTAGAGAAAGAGTGTCACAGGTTGCGAACCCT